CTGCCCCAGAGGCGATAGTTTTCCTTATATGTAGACCGCCTCCGTGGTCGAGGGGTTAGAGTCGATAACTTCTAATCCAGTTACCTCTCTGGCGTGGGTTCGATCCCCGGGAGATGCTTTGGTAGTTTAGCGCGGAGGAATGTAGTCTAGTACTGGTGTAACTCTCCAGGAACGATGGTTAGGAAACTACCCGCCTCTATGACTGAAATACTGTTGGGAAAAGGCGAAAAATGAAACAAACAAACAAACAAAAATTTCCTTATATGTATAAAGTTAAAACTTGAAAAATCTTCTTCTCTGTAATGGCAAAGGCTAGAGGTTAAATATATGGCATGAGACTTTGTGAAGTGAACCTCTACCAGATTGTTCAAATTATAGCCACGGGGCTCATTAATTTTCATTATGTACATAATTTTATAGTCAAAAAAACTTTAAAAAATATTTTTGTCTGAAGGTACAAGGCATAGAGCTTTGATGTTTGCTTTATAATATCATCTATAGGTCCTCTACCAAAGTTGTTCAAATTTTTCCCCTGGTGTCAAAATTGGCCAGTGACCTACTTTCTTGTCCTTTGATGTACAGCTTTGAAATTTGAACTATGTGCACAGATTAAGATGTAAAGTGAACTTTGATATCAGCTGACCTAGATTTTGACAGTGTCTTACTGTGTTGTTCTTTGATGTAGTCATGAAAGTTAGACTGTGTGAAATATGACCTTCACCACCAAATTCACTAGACTCAAGTGCATTGATATATTCCTACTCTGATCTTTTATTGGATTAACAATAGATTTAACCACTAATCTGATAATAAGAATTAGATAGGTTAGGGATCTATGCATTATGACAATCTTCAATTGTATAGAAACAAAAAAAATCTGTTCCTACGTTGTGTTGTATTAATGCGGTGGCATAGCATTTTTCTCAAATGCAATCTTGTTTAAGCCTTGTGTGACTAAAAATGGCCAAAAAGATCAAAGGAAATCTCATAAGTACCATTTTGTGAGTATGTCCGTCCGTCCGTTAGCAATTTGGTTTCCGGAGCATAAGCCAAGTCATAGGATGATTGTCCATATTGGGTAGAAGACCCCTATTGATTTTGGGGTCAAAAGGTCAAAGGTCACTATTACCTTAAAACTGAAAACAGTTTCCGCTCAATAACTTAAGTATTAATCAGCCTACAGCTGTAAAATTTTATAAGATGAACAGCTAATTCCCATGTCTTACAAATGCTTCATCCTGACTAAAAAAAAAACACTTTTGGGCATATAATGCTCCGCCTAGCGGTGCATTTGTTTATTATTAGATTAACTTCGTGTTAAGACACAACATTCTTCTAGATGACTTTCATGTAAATTAAACTCAAATTGACCTTGGCTCATTAATGACCTTCACCTTGAAGGTTGAATTATTGAATTTTCACTGATTTTTGCTATAATTGACTTTTATTTGGTAATTAATAGATGGATTATCTTCATTTTTGGACGGACAAGACCATAATGGTTGAACTGACCTTGACCTTTAAATGACCTTGACCGTCAATGTTAAATTATTGAATTTCGGTTAAATTGTCATAATTTTGTTGTTTATGTTTGGATTTGATTTACACTTGGACAAGGGGCGTCCGTGGCCGAGTGGTTAAGGTCGTTGACTCCAAACCACTTGCGTGGCCGAGTGGTTAACGCGTCGGACTAGTAATCTAAGGATTGCTGACCACGTGGGTTCAAACCCTGTCAGGGCCAAGCCATTGTTTCCTTGAGCAAGAAACTTTACATTCATTGCTTAGTACTGGTTGGTTCCAGGAACAGATTCGAGAGTGTTTCAATAAGCTTATAGCTTCCAACACAATCAAACTAAAATAAATTATTATAAACCAAACCACTTGCCCCTCACCGCTGTGGGTTCGAATCCCTACAGGGACTTTGGATTCTTTCATGTGAGGAAGCTATCCAGCTAGCTTAAGGAACGTCGCAGGTTCTACTCAGGTGCCCGTTAGTGCCTGAAATAATGCACGGAAAGGCACCTGAGGTCTTCCTCCACCAGTGAAGCTGGAACGTCACGATATGACCTATACTGTGTCGATATGACTTAAAACCCAATCAAACAAACAAACACTTGGACAAAACAAGACTTTCTACCAAACAAACATATTAAATAATTCATATGTGATCTTGACCTTTAAGGTATGACCCACCTTATGCATTACCTCCACTTTGAAGAGTATTCAAATAGGCTAGAACTACTGTCAACTGCATTGACATTGAGGGGCATGGGTTCAAGCCCTAGAAGAGGCAACTTTTTTTTTTTCTTTCTTTTTTTCTTTTTAACATTTTTTATGTGTTTCTGGGATCACTCTTGGTAAGAAATAAGTATTTCATTTTAATTAAAGGATTATTTTCGGTATTTGTTTGGCTTAATAATGCCAAATTTATTATCAAATATGGTACCTGATATTTTCAAAGTCTAATAAAGTAAAAACTAGGCGGTAAAAGTATTTTATGTTTGACAAGCTCAACCAATATACTTTAAAAAAAATTTAGGTTAACTTTGAAAACAGCCCCTCATTTTGATAAATTTTAGGGATATTTTGAATAAGGCTCGCCAAGTAGGAAAACGGTCAAACAACTATTTCAAAAAGGTGGGATAGGGTAACATTTTCATACATTTTTAAAACAATTTGAGTAGAAACAATAGTTTTGCTTGTGCCATTTGTTAGCTGAATGCTATTATTTGTTTCTTAACAATGTTCAATAGAAAAACATTTTTTATAATGATTATATTATAGATTAATATTTAGAGTTTCTCATTTCTGAAAAAAGAGCCCTTCTGATAGCCATATATATTTAAGTTAAGGAAAATCTCCAGAACTCGTAAACTTTACGGTAAACTTTGTTTAAATTTTGCATACAGGTGTCCTTTAAGGTATAATTGACCTATGTTGTCAATTTTATAGTTCCTTACAGTGCCTATTAGGGGGCTCATACCTTAATTAATTAACATTGACCGTCAAGGTCAAACTAATGAAATTCTCTTATTTTATCCTTTAACTATAAAATTTGGACCATGTCCATAGTTTAAGATGTAAAATTGAACTTTGATATCAGCTGGCCTTGATTTTGATCTAGTGACCTACTTTCTTGATTTTTTATGTACAGCAATGAAATTTGAACCATGTTCATAGTTTTAGATGTAAGATTGAACTTTGATATCACCTGGACCTAGACTTTGACCTAGTGACCTTTTTATTATGCCCCCGCCATGTAATGGCCGGGGCATATAGTGTTACCCTGTTCCGTCATTCCGTCCTTCCATCCTTCCGTCCTTCCGTCATTCTGTCATTCCGTCATCATCAGTTTCCGTTCATTATCTTAAGAACGGTTGCACACATTCAACTCAAATTTGACATATGGATATGTCATGACAAAATACAGGTCAAGTTCGAATTTGGTCATGGTTCAATGATTTTTGGCAGAGTTATGCCCCTTTTACTTTGAAAATAATATGAAATTTCAGTTTCCGTTCATTATCTCCCCAACGGTACAACACATTCAACTCAAACTTGACATATGGATATGTCATGACAAAATACAGGTCAAGTTCGAATTTGGTCATGGTTCGATGATTTTTGGCAGAGTTATGCCCCTTTTACTTTGAAAATAATATGAATTTTTCAGTTTCCGTTCATTATCTCCCCAACGGTGCAACACATTCAACTCAAACTTGAAATATGGATATGTCATGAGAAAATACAGGTCAAGTTCGAATTTGGTCATGGTTCGATGATTTTTGGCAGAGTTATGCCCCTTTTACTTTGAAAATAATACGAAATTTTCAGTTTCCGTTCATTATCTCCCCATCGGTACAACACCTTCAACTAAAACTTGACATATGGATGCGTCAAAAGAATGCGCAGGTCAAGTTCAAATTTGGTCATGGTTCAATGATTTTTGGCAGAGTTATGCCCCTTTCACTTTGAAAGTTATATGAAATTTTCAGTTTCCTTTTATTATCTCCCCAACAGTACAACACATTCAACTCAAATTTGACATATGGATATGTTTTTGGAATGCCCAGGCCAAGTTCGAATTTGGTCATGGTTCAATGATTTTTGGCAGAGTAATGCCCCTTTCACTTTGAAAATAATATGAAATTTACAGTTTCTGTTCATTATCTACCCAACAGTGTTACATATTCTACTTAAATTTGACATATGGATATGTCAAAGGAATGGACAGGTCAAGTTGGAATTTGGTCATGGTTTGATGATTTTTTTGCAGAGTTATGTCCCTTTCACTTTGAAAATAATATAGATACATCTTAGGAATAAGCAGTTTAAGTTTGAATTTGGTTGTGGTTCAATGATTTTAGACAAACTTATCTTTCCTGAATGTTGGGAAAATTTTGAACTTTCAGTTTCAGCACTCATACTTTTAGCCATTATTTTGGCTACAAATATGCAATATGCTATTTTTAAAAGGTTAAGACTGAATAATTTCAGTGCCTTGAACATTGTATGAAAATGGTTTGTGTTAACATTGAAAAGTTTTAAGGGCTTTGAACTTAAAATGAAAAAAATAATTAATGCACCATCTGAAATTTTGGCTGCATGCGGGGGCATCCGTGGCATGATGACACATTTCTAGTTTCTTATTCTTTGATGTAAAGTTTTGAAATTCGACCACATGCACACTTTTAGATGTAAAATTGAACTTTGATATCAGCTGACCTTGATTTGGACCTAGTGACCTACGTTCTTGTTCTTTGATGTAAGCTATAACATTTGGACCATATGCACAGTTTAAGATGTAACATTGAGCCTTGTTATCAGCTGATCTACATTTTGACCAAGCTACATTCTTTGTCTTTTTTACTTTTTTTGTATAATTTTCTTTTTAGAGTTTTATTTGCTTGCTTTAAGAAAAAATAAAAAAGTTGAGCATTGCCCGCCTAGTGTTGGGTCTTGTTAAAAACAAAGTTATATACATTTTTTATCTTTTAAAGGCATTTGGTTCTTAATAAAGATCGGAAAAGAGGCGGATCAGATAAGAATAAAGAAAATGGGATGACAGAGCACGGCACTGATAAGAAAGAGGTTAAGTCAGATAAATCTAAGGATAAAATACGTTACCAGTATGATGAACATTATTTTCTGACTGACCCTGATCAATTTATTCAAGAATTCTGGCCAAAAGAGAGCGAGTGGCAATTGTTGGATGCTCCAATTACGCTTGAGGAGTTTGAAGCACTTCCGTTTGTACGATCTGTTTTCTTCCATTTTGGTATGAGATTTGACAAGACCATGCCTGCTGTCATTGAGACAAATGACCGTGGAGGAGCAGATATTCGTATTAAAATACCCGAAATGTTTGAAAATGATTTAGTATTCTACTATCAGTTGCGTTTCGCTGATACAGAGCGAAAGCTAGAGGCAACGTACCGTGGAGCTGCATTGGAGAGATTTGTATTTCAAACTACCTTGGATAATACGGCAATGTTCAGTATCCATGTGCCTACAACAGGAGAATATTATTTTGAAATATTTGCTAACAAAATCAATGAAAGCAACAAAATTAGTGGCACCTTGGATGACACTATCTCACCTTTCAGACTTAAATGTGCTTGCAAGTTCAAAATCAGGTGCAAAGCTTTGAAAGGCAAAATGCATCCTTTACCAGATTGTGCTGCAGGCGAATGGGGTCCGAAGAAAGCTGTCCGCCATTTTGGTTTGCAGCCAATCTATCTTGATCATTCTGATACGTCATCCGATACCGGAAGTACATCTAGTAATGATTCACCTGAAAACCCCAAAGCCGGTATTTTAAATGTTGAAGATTCCGTTACACTTAAGTTCCGAATGCCTGTGCCGCTACAATTTGTTGTTAAACTCAAGCTCAACAATGTTGAACAGAAACCGCTGGATGCTTTTGTTTATCACGCCGTAGAGAGTAACGTTCTTACAGTAACAGCGACAATGCCACAATTAGGACAATATGGTCTTGACATTTACGCAAAGCCCAAAACGTCCGATGCAAAAACTCTCTCACATGCATGTAAGTACCTGCTGAATGCAGTCAAAGTGTCAAACCCTGTTGAGCTTCCAAAGATCAACCGATCTTTCGCTCGTAAAGGAACAATTGGACCCTCTCAAGCATTTGATCAGATGGAACTACTATTGAAGTCCCATTTGGATCCCCAGATTACGATGGAGGAAAAGGATTCCGAAACACAGATCGAAATAGAGGCTCCAGAGGATGTTGAAGTATCACATCATTTACTTCGTGAACCAGACGAAGATTGTAAAGAATTTGTTACCATGGTCAGGAACGGAACCAACGTGAAATTTTTTATGAAACTAGGGAAACATGGGAACTATTTGTTCTGTATTTATGCACGACGTACAAAGGGGAATGATAGCTCTATGACTAATGTATACAATTATGTAATTGCGCACAAGAAAAGAAATCCCTTATTTTCTTCCCAGAGTAACGGTTCGGAACCACCTCAAGTTGTGTTTGAAGAAAAGAAATCACATGGTCTTCTTAGGAAATCCATCTTCGGCTCTAAGAAAAAAGACAAAGAAAAGGAGAAGAAAAAGTAAATCAGAAAAATGACAAATTGTTTGTATGTTCATACAAAATAATCAGGATGTTATATTTTTGTTCAACCTTTTTCAAACAAAATTTCAATTACTGGTGTTCAAAACAAAATGTTCATAATCATTATTAACCATATTTACATGTATGATATGTAATGTATAGGGGCATTTAGATTTACCCTTGTCTGTCCTTTGTGTCCTTTCTCATGTTGTGTCTCACTTAGCTCAAAAAGTGTTTGACCTAGATTCATGAAACTTTACAGGAATGTTAGTCAGCATCTGTAGTTGTATTGCATGTGGAATTATTCAGTATTTGTAGATTTATGCCATTGACTTAGTAAAAGTTTGCGATTTTCAACTTGTGTCGCACATATTGATTTATTTGTGTATATATATATATATATATATGTCATATTACAATACATTAAAGACAATTTATCACAGATATATCTATAACATTATATGTAACACAATAGTTAATTGATAAATAAAAACTTAACTTTCGTATTAAATCAAAGATCTAGTTGATTTCAAGACATATATGCAACACAGGATTACCTATGAAAGTTCAATATTGAACAGAGAAATTTCAAATGGTATACTGGACTCGGGGGGTCAAACGTATAGCGGTGCAATACTTCTTTAAGCGAGGTGAAATCATGCAATACGGCATAATGGCCGAAGAAAGTGAAAACGAAAGTGGGTATGAGCATAATTAATGAGCATGTTTTATTTCAAATATTTGTTGTATATTGTAATTTCTTGAAGAATAGCATTGTGCATGCTGATCAGAACTTATAATTGTGCATGATATTCAAAATAAAATACTAAATTTGAAAGTATTGAGTAAGTTATTGAGGTATTTGTTGCTGCAAATTCAACCGTCAACATGATATGCACATGCAAACGAATACAGAATCAGTACATTTAAAACATATATTTGATTAGTTTTAGTCCCAACATGTTTATTTCATATAAGCTTTAAGCTTTCTACTCGATCCTGAATGCAATTTATGTATTGTAATTTTGTCTGTAATTGATGAAATATTGTTTAAACCAACATGTTTATTTTTGATAACAAAATGATATACAAGAGTAGTTTTCCATATTTATTTGAAAATCTATACAATATTTCGAGTTTTCTTACTGTACGCCTTAATAATTGGTCCGATTAACTAACTGTACTCACAAATTTTGGTGTGTTTTTCTGTAGCGTAGGGGACTTCCTCATTATAGTATATTCTTATTCAATATTGATGAAAGATCAAATTTTGTGTTTGTATGTTTATCATATGTAAACCACAGTGTCAATAAAAACAACAGTGTCAATTAATGTATTATACTAGTATAATATATAGTTTATTTAAATATTGATTTCTCACAAAGGTTAAATATTAAAATAAGATAAGTTATTGCACAGGAACTTGAAATTTTATCAAATCACCAATAGTAAATATAATATTCGTTTTGTTTATTCCATTTATTCAGTAATGGTTTTATCATTTAATAATATTTTTATGCCACCACAGCATCTGCGATACGGTGGCATATAGCGCTTCACCTGTGTGTTTGTATGTATGTGTGTATGTTTGTGTGTTATACAGATTATATAGTGAACTTAAAAAATCTTCTTGAGTAAAAACCACTTTTCTAATTTCAACCAAACTTAGCAGGATTGAACCTTGGGTTAAGGGCTTCCAAAGTTGTTCAAAGAATTTCATTCCATGCAGAAATCTGGTTGCCATGGCAACCAAAAGGAATTATTATAATAAATTTAAAAAATCTTCTTGTAAAGACCCACAAGGCCTAGAGCATAGATATTTTGCAGAAGGCATTGTCTGGTAGACCTCTACCAAGATTGTTCAAATTATAGCCCAGGGGTCAAAATTGGCCCCGCCCCGAAGGTCATTGATTTTGGTATATGATATCATCTATAGGTACTCTACCAAAGTTGTTCAAATTTTGCCCCTAGTGTCAAATTTAGCCCCGCCCCGGGGGTCATAGGTTTTTCTTTTATGTATATAGTAAAAGTATCTTCTCGAAATTGACAAGGCTAGAGGTTAGATATTTTGCATGAAACATTGTGTAGTGAACCTCTACCAAGATTGTTCAAATTATAGCCCTGGGGTCAAAATTGGCCCCGCCCTGGGGGTCATTGATTTTTTTGATGTACATACAGTAAAAAATTTTAAAATCTTATTGTCTGAAGGTACAAGGCTTAGAGCTTTGAAAATTGGTATATGTTATCATCTATAGGTACACTACCAAAGTTGTTCAAATTTGCCTAAGTGTCAAAATTAGCCCTGCCCCGGCGGTCATAGTTTTCCTTATATATATATAGTAAAAACTTTAAAAAATCATCTTCTCTAAACTGACAAAGGCTAGAGATTAGATATTTTGCATGAAACATTGTGTAGTGACCCTCTAGCAAGATTGTACAAATTATAGCCCTGGGGTCATAATTGGCTCCGCCCCAGGGGTCATTGATTTTGCCTAGCCCAAGGGGACAGTGACCTACTTTCTTGTCCTTTGATGTACAGTCATGGAATTTTGGCCATGTGAAATATGACCTTCACCACCAAATTCAATAGACTCAACTGCATTGATAGATTCCTACTCTGATCCTTTATTTGAATAACAATAGATTTAACCACTAATCTGATGATAAGAATTAGATAGGTCAGGGATCTATGCATTATGGCAATCTTCAATTGTATAGAAACAAAAAAATTCTGTTCCTACATTACTATCTAGTGCTGTATTAATGCGGTGGCATAGCTTTTTTCACAAATGCAATCTTGTTTTCTATTTCTTATCACATATTTTTGTTATGAGAAAACAATAACTTTAATTAAAATAGCAACATACAAGAAGTGGATCTACTATTGTATTACATGCACTGGCCGGAAAAAAAGCTTCCCATTCTTAGGTTCATTCAATACCTTAAAAAGTACATATAATAAATTGCGTTGTTCTTTTTGCAATGGAACTTGAAATTTTTTTGAAAATAATTCTGGTTTGATTTCCTTTATGGATTGGATGTTATATATTTATTATACTCCCGAAACGAAGTTTGGGGGGTATATAGGAGTCACCCGGCGGTCGGTCAGTCCGTTGCATTTTCCTTGTCTGTAGCATAACTTGAAGACTAATGGTTGGACTTCAATACAACTTCATAAAATGGTCAAGTATATTGAGAGGAAGTGCAGTGCACAAGAAACATAAGTCCTTCTTGACTAATTACAGAGTTATTGCCCTTTGTTACTTTTCCATTGCTTTTTTTTTTGTCCGGAGCATAACTTGAAGACTAATGCTTGGAATTCAATACAACTTCATACAATGGTAATGCACATTGAGAGGAAGTGCAATGTATAAGAACCATAACTCCATCTTGATTGATTACAGAGTTATTGGCCTTTGTTACTTTTCCTTGTCCGGAGCATAACTTGAAAACTAGTAGTTGGAATTCAATACAACTTCATACAATGGTCAAGCACATTGAGAGGAAGTGTAGTCCACAAAAACCATAACTCCATTTTGACAAATACAGATTGATTACAGAGTTATTGCCCTTTGTTACTTTTCCTGGTCAGGAGCATAACTTGAATAGTAGTAGTTGGAATTCAAAACAACTTCATACAATGGTCAAGCACAATAAGAGGAAGTACAGTGCATAAGAACCATAACTCTATCCACAGTAATTATAGTTTTTGCCCTTCGTTACTTTTCCATTGCTATTTCTTGTCCAGAGCATAACTTGAAAACAACTTGTTGAAATTCAATAATACTTAATACAAAGGTCAAGCACATTGAGAGAAAGTGCAGTACAGAAGACTCATAACTCCATCTTGATTAATTACAGAGCTCTTTGGTACTTTTTCTTGTCCAGTGCATAACTTGAAAATTAATGGTTTGAATTCAATGCAAATTCATACAACAGTCAAGCACAAAAAGAGGAAATGCAGTCCACAAGAACCATAACTCCATCCAGAATAATTATAGAGTGATTCAATTCAACTCCATACAGTGGTCAAGTACATTGAGAGGCAGGGCAGTGCACAGAAACCATAACTCTTTCTTGACTCATTTAAAAGTTTTTGCCCTTTGTTACTTTTTATCGTTATTGCATAACTTGAAAAATAATGGCTGGAATTCAATGTATCAAGCACAATGAGATGAAGTGCAGTTCACTATCAACCATAGCTCCATCTTGACTAATTACAGAGTTATTGCCCTTTGTTCCTTTTTTATGCTCCCTGAAAAAATTCAGGGGAGCATATAGTTGCTGGGTTGTCAGTCCGTCCGTACGTACGTCTGGAATTTGTGTCCGGCCCATAACTTGGTTATTTTAAGTCGGATTTTACAGAAGTGATCACCATATTGAGACGACGTGTCACACACAACATTATGGTCCCTACCTTGAAGGTCAAGGTCACAGCATGACCTTGCAGCAAAATCGTGTCCGGCCCATAACTTCGTTATTTGAAGTCGGATTTTACAACTATTTTTGGGTAGAAGTGCAGTGTCAAAGAACTATAACTCTATCTTCCCTAACTTTGGAGTTACTGCCCTTTGTTCATTTTTACACTTTGAAATTTGTCCGGGACATAACTCTCAAACTTTAACTATAAGAGATATCAACATGAAACTTTGTAGGTAGATAGATCTCATTGGGTAGAAGTGCATGTTTAAAGGACTATAACTCTGTCTTGCCTAATTTTGGAGTTATTGCCTTTTGTTCATTTTTACACTTTGAATTTTGTCCGAGACATTATAGCTCTAAAACTAAAAGAGATATCAACATGAACTTTTGTAGGTAGATAGATCTCGTTGAGTAGAAGTGCAGTGCAAAAGAACCATAACTTTGCCTTGCCTAATTTTGGAGTTATTGCCCTTTTTTCATTTTTACACTTTGAACTTTGTCCAGGACAACATAAATCTGAAACTATTAGAAGTATCAAATGAAACTTTGTAGGTAGATTGATCTCATTAAATAGAAGTGCAGTACAAAAGAACCTTAGCTCTGCCTTGCCTGATATTGGAGTTATTGCCCTTTGTTTATTTTTACACTTTGAACTTTGTCTGTGACAAAACTCTGACACTACAATAGGTATACTTTCCTGTGTCCAAAACCTATTCGGGGAGCATCACCCGGTTCAACCGGTTCTTGTTTGTCCAGTGCATAACTTGAAAACTAGTCGTTGGAATTCAATACAACTTCATACAATGGTCCAGCACAATGAGAAGCACAATGAGAGGAAGTGCAGTGTACAATAACCATAACTCCATCTTCAGTATTTGTAGAGTTAATACCCTTTGTTCCTTTTCGTTATCTGGTGCAAAACTTAAAAACTAATATTTCGAATTCAGTGCAACTTCATACAATGGTCAAGCCAATGAGAGGGAGTGCAGTGCTCAAGAAGCGTAACTCTTTCTGGACCTATTACAGAGTAATTCAATAAAACTTCATCAATGGTCAATCACAGTGAAAGGAAAATGTAACGTACAAGAACCACAACTACCTTGAATTGCCCACAACCATAACTCTATTTCAATTCTTTTACTAGGTATTCTGTTACTAGTAACTTCCTTATTTCTGAAGCAGTCTTGCAGCGGTATTAATCACATGTAGTGATAGTTCTTTTTTTTTTAAAAATTGAAAACATTGACACAAGCCTATTAGATGACCTCTATTGATTTAATGTCATTTTAGGTCAAAGATTATAGCCATTGCGACACTTTTATTATACAGGCTTGAAAGTAGTCCTTCTTTTGCCTACACTTTCCTACTTATTTGCCATACTCATACCGCTTAAAGAAGTATCTATTGTAAAAAAATGATTTAATCTGCATTTATTAGCATATTTTCTATACACAAGTCCACAGCTCTTCCTTTCGCTGACATTGAAACATACAAAAGTGACTTACAAAATATCAAAAAGAGCGTTTAAATAGAAGTTTATACTAATGTAGCAATTTGTAGACGTATATTATCAGAAATTTATATTATTTATTTTCAAAAATAAGCATAATGATGATTAAATCTCCATTTATTTGCATAATTTCTAAACACAAGTTCAGAGATCTTACTTTCGCTAACATTGAACAATACGAAAGGGATTATTCGGAGGAAAGTGAGCGAGAGGAGAAGTGATTTTAAAAATATTAAATGTAGCGTGTTAGAATTAACAAATAAAACATGGCCTTGAGGGCGCTTCGGGCCATATACCTTCCTCAGTCTGACCAACCAGTCCGTAAACTTGCATTTTGCCCGAAAGGCCATGTTTTATTTGTTATATTATACCGAATCTAAATCCTTTCATCCCTTTTGTT